TGGAATTTTCCCATATTCCTTAGATGCTTACATATTGTTTCACCAGAAACATACAATTTCAGGGCCATTTCACGAGTGTATTGCTTTGGATTAGGCCCAACAAGCGTCTTCAGATCATCAAAATCAATTCCAAAATGTCGGCCCCTGCCATCACAGTCACCTGAACGAAATTAGCTGAACCATCATTGACACTTACGAACGTTCAAAACATTTCCATAAACTTCTTTGCTATACTTTGTGGCTACAGAGGCATTTTTACCCTTCTTGTATTCAAACAGCTTACATGCCGAATGTGTGTCTCGTCGAGTGCCATCACTATAAGGGATTAGAGTATACTAAACTTTACACATTATATAGGCTACACTAACGTGACGTCTAGGCGGTTCGTTTAACTATTATACGTGATGTACGATTTTTGGCGAGTGGCTAATGAAAATGTTCCAAAACGCGACATTAATTTCTTAGCTACCTAATAATACAGTTATGTGTCAAGTATATTCTTGTCTATGTATTACACTTATGTAAGATATTAATTCTTGTCTATATAGTACCAGTCGTGTGACAAGTGAATTTTTGTCTGTGTAGTACCAGTTGTGTAAATAGTGAATTATTGTCTATGTAGTTCCTGTTGTGTAACAAGTGAATTCTTGTCTAGATAATACCAGTTGTATAAAAAAGTATTATTGTTTGTGTAGTACCAGTCGTGTGACAAGTGAATTTTTGTCTGTGTAGTACCAGTTGTGTAAATAGTGAATTATTGTCTATGTAGTTCCTGTTGTGTAACAAGTGAATTCTTGTCTAGATAATACCAGTTGTATAAAAAAAGTATTATTGTTTGTGTAGTACCAGTTCTGTGACAAATAAATGTGTTATTGTCTATGCAGTACCAGTTGTGTTACAAGTAAATTTCTGTCTGTGTAGTACCAGTTGTGTGACAAGTGAATTCCTATCTGTGTAGTACCAGTTGTGTCACAAGCGTATGCTTCTCTGTGTAGTACCAGTTATGTGACAATTGAATTCCTATCTGTGTAGTACCAGTTGTGTCACAAGTGTATGCTTCTCTGTGTAGTGCCAGTTATGTGACAATTGAATTATTGTCTATATATTACCAGTTACATGACAAGTGAATTCTTCTCACTGTAGTAATAGTTGTGTAACAAGTAAATTTCTGTCTATGTAGTAGTAGTTATGTGACAAATGAATTCTTGTCTATTTTGTACAATTATGTAACAAGTGAATTCCTCTTTATGTAGTATCATTTATGTGACAAGTGAATTACTGTCTATGTATTACCAGTTATGTCACAAGTGAATTATTGTCTATTTAGTACCTGTTATGTGACAAGTGAATTTCAGTTTATGTAGTATTAGTTACATAACAAGGTAATTCTTATCTATGTAGAACTAGTTATGTGACAAGTGAATTCCTCTTTATGTAGTATCATTTATGTGACAAGTGAATTACTGTCTATGTATAACCAGTTATGTGACAAGTGAATTATTGTCTATTTAGTACCTGTTATGTGACAAGTGAATTTCAGTTTATGTAGTATTAGTTACATAACAAGCAAATCCTTATCTATGTAGAACTAGTTATGTGACAAGTGAATTATTGTCCATTTAGTACCTGTTATGTGACAAGTGAATTACTGTCTATGTAGTTAAAATTATGGGAAATGTATTTCTATTTATGCAGTATAAGTAATTTGACCTGAGCTTCCTTAATTATGTAGTCTACATCATATAACTAGAGCTTTCGTAGTTTATAGAGCTAGTGATAAAAATTTCGAGTTATAAAGTTTAAGTATTTTTCTTGTTACTAGCAACAGCTAGAACAGTACTACAAGCAGAAATGAAACATATTTGTATTTACAAGTTATATATAGATTAGTAATAACTCCACTATTCATTTAAACATAAAAGATGAATGTAAAAATTGAAACTTTTCTTCTTAAAAATAGTTATATCTTATATTAATTGTAGAAATAAGAAAAATATTAAAAGACTACACAGTTTTATTTACTTTAATATTCTGACGACAGTATTACATATTTCTTAAATTAACCACAACATGAATCTTTACATTAATAGTAAAAAGAAACAAGTTATTTTTAACAATTGCACCCAACCAAATACATAAAAGTATTTGATTCCTTCCACACTGTACAAACGTAATTCACAATAGCAGACAGTCCAACTACTTAACATATGCCTTTCCCGAGAACTTCTGTTTAATACTATATGCATATGAATTTAAATACTACTGCTATTTAAACATGGTGCACATTCACAATATAACAAAAAAGTAATATGCCAGTAATTGAAATTACCCATCTTCTTGCTTCATAATGATATATGACAGTATTTTTCTCATAATATATTAATAAAGAGGGTTAAAGTTGTATGAGAAAGCCAATAATAAAATGAGCTACATGAAAACAAAAGAATTCAGTGGTATTAAAACAACATAGTTTCAGAATATTAAGATGCTATAACTGTCATTTTTAAATATTCAATAACATCAATCAGCACAGGTGAAGAGTGAAGTTTCTATTTTCAGAGTTTCCTGGATGCTCAACAGTCAGCAATAAGGGTAGCCACTTGTGGATTGATCCACGTATTCAGTTGACTTTACCTCATTGTTTCAAACATCCTTAAGTGCTTCATATGAGACTTCATGATCACAAAATAACATATTACCTGATGGAGAGTATGCTATGATACTGTTACACCAAATCATTACTTCAGATAGAGCTCCTGATGATTCTAAGTCAAAACATCACTTCAGGAAAAAAGGCTCCTGGTAATTGGTTATTCAAGTCTGAACTCTAGAATGACCCTTTATTCAAGTCTCACTCCAGAAAGAGGTCCTGGTGATTGGTATCTAAGTCATCACTTTATAAAGATGTCCTGGTGATTGGTTATTCAAGTCTTCATGCCAGAAAGAACTTCTGGTGACTGATGCCATGAATATTGACTCAGAGACAGTACATTTCAGTGTCAAACACAATCAGCAAACTAATCAAAGACATGGGACTCTAATATATAATGAGTGTATAAAATAGAAATGATGTCACCCTGGTTAACAAAGCTACCGTAAATGTGGGATACAGAAATATGGTAATTAACCAGGTGAAGATTTGCACCAAAACAAAAGACAGTTGTGATACAACTCACATAACTGTTTCAAATACTGACTGAGGTGGAAATAAACGAATTTTAGTTTATAAACTGCTCATAAACTTGATTATCAACATTGGTACAAATTGCACCCATAGGCTTTGCATTAGGATACAGTTTGGTCCAGTACCATATATATAAATATATATACAATTGATTAAAAATTAATCATTACTGTTTTCCACACATCACACACATATATTATTTATTGTTATTTGGAATAATTAAATATGGCATTCATAAATTATGCTTGCCATATCCATCTGTCAGAAGTGTTAATAAATTACCATTCTTAAGTGTTTTTTTAAAGACCACCAAATACCAAAGTGTTTTAGTTTATGTGTAGTCATATCTTGTTAAACTAATTACCATGAAAAACACCTAACATCAAAATTTGTCTATTTCTATAATAATTACACTTTACAAACACGACTTTCTATGTAACATTACAAGTGACTTAAGTTTTTGTTTAATCGTGTTTTGCTGGAAAGTGTTTTGTTTACATTCAATAAACATGGATCATTATCATGGTTAGTAGTCCATACCTATGATTCTGAACTGCCAATCTATGAATCTATGATGGTTCACAAAGGGATTTCAGCCAGCCCTCAAAATGGTTTAAAAAAAAAGTGTTTAAAAATGTAACTACTGAAGTATATTATTGTACAATGCAATATAAAAGTACTTTACAGAGTTAAGTGGTGAATGAAGTTTTGAGACTAGAACTTACTGGTCCTCAGTTGGAAGAAGGTTGGGAACCATTAGCCTATACAATCACATAAGTCCAGTTATTAATTACTCTCGCCCTTTTGAGGGTATTGCAATTGGGTCTGTGTGTGTCCGTGTTTCTGTGCAAGTATCTTGAAAACTAATAGACTGATGTACACGAAAATTTTAAACAAGATGGGAAATCAGTATGAGACAGCTCTCCCCAAATTTGGTCTGGATCCAAATTTGAATTCTGGATCACTTTGAAGCATTTTTTATAATGAAGAGGTAGGCCATTTTCACAGTTTTCAGTTAGTGACTTGGTAAAGTGTAATCAGATTTTTACCAAATTTCATGGACACGTTAAGGTTGAGACTCCTTTTCACACAACAAAACACAATCCGGACTGTTTATCATTCTGGATCTGAGAAGGATTTTCTGAGTTTTCAAGGGCAAAAATTCTACATTATCCAATATAAACACATGCAATCTCGAAAAGGAGTGGCAGGGCAAGAGCATGCAACCTCTCTGATTGCTCTTGTTTATTATTATTACTATAAGACCAATTATCTTATACCTACATTTTGACTGCCTTTCTGCTGCAGTCTAAAGGGGAGATGTGCTGTCCACTCAACTGGACTCTCATCTCTGCTGATCCCAGCTCCTGCATCCATACACAGTTATTCTTCCCAGGACTCCCCTGAAGATGGTAACAGATTAGAAGCCAAAGCTTATAGTACAAGTTTAATTGTAAATAATATCTAATAGTAATGTAAAAGAATTACTACTAGTTAATCACTAATCAGACTGAGTTGACAGTACAGACTACTAACCATGGCAATGACAGATATCACCACAACCTTACTTAATGAACAGCTGCTTTAATAGAATAATATTTCTGATGTGACATCATAAGCTTCTTGTAAGTGTTTAGGTCTTGAACAGAATTTTTAAATGCAGGATTGCTATTGTAGAGATAGGGGCTAAATATTAGCTCCATTCTACAACTCAAATGGGTAAAAACCTATGCCCTTAGCATATCTTATGTATTTTTTTGAAAGGTTTGGAAAACTTCACAGACTTCTGTAGTTTGAAGTTTAAATGTTTATTTTTCACATAGAAACTGTAATTTCTTTTTCTTTCTATAAATAAGTTATTCTGATATTTTGTACAAAAATAATATTGATTAATGCAAGCACTTTTCTGTTAAAGGGTCAATATTCTGCAAAGTTGGGCAATGAATTCTTTTACATGTGTATTGTTCTTAACATATGTTTAAGTATTACACATTAATGGGTTAGACAGTCACATTCCACCTCACTATTTAGTATTTTATATTCTGGTTTTAAAAATAAAGACATCTTACATGCTTTTGTAATTCATTATACTATTTTTTTTATGTTTTCAAAATTACAACTTTTTTTGTACTCTCTAAACTTTGGAAATTTTTAGCATCAACTTCAGTGGACAGGCCTAGTTTAAGACATATCTCAGACTGATTTAAACTTTTCTTTAAATGTTGCACAGTGCTCCAAATGTCCCTTTTTGAATGTTATGAGCACAGCTTGGAATCTGGTTGATTAACTGTACTGTATCTTTATTTCTACACTGGTGTTTCTTGTCAAGACATATTTTTAAATAATGTGAACTAAAAACAATTAATTTATTGTGGTGAAGTAAAGAGAATACAACAAAGATATTTTTGAGAACATTCTGTATGTAGACAAATTGTAATTATGAGGAAAATACTAACAACTTTCAAGCAAATACATGTTTAATTACAGTGATTTTAATAATTAAAACATATCCCACTTAAAGCTAACTAACTTAATTAAAGTCTTTACTCAAAACTGACATTGCAACAAGTAAATAACTTACCACCTGACTTAACTAGTCAGCAGACTTAACATGGAAAAAATAGAAGCTTATTAAATATAAAACATATTTGGTGTTAGTTCTTTTCAAAAACTGCATGAACTTACAAATTTATATGACTTCTACATGCTGCTGCCTAGACATTTTCTTTTTAATTTTGAACAAACATACTAATCAAATGTGAGTTGACAATAGATTTCATGTAAGAACACAAGTTTCCTTCTTTTGTTCCTTAACAAGTGGAAATGACAAAGTCCAAACAGAATATAAACCAACAACAGGTTTCTTGTAAGCACATTCTGTTTTCTTTTTCTCACTCAGACATGTAGAAATGATCAAGTTTGAACAGAATATAGTTGACAACAGGTTCCTTGCGAGCATATTCTATTTCCTTTTTTTCTTTCCTGGACATGTGTAAATGACCAAGTCTGAACAGAATACAAGTTAACAATGAATTCCTTGTAAGCACATTCTATTTCTTTCTTTCATACTCAGACATGTGAAAATGACCAAGTCTGAACAGAATACAAGTTTAGAACAGATTCCTTGTAAGCATATTCTATTTCCTTTTTTTCTTACTTGGACATGTGAACACAACCAAGTCTGAACAAAATATGAGGTGACAACAGATTCCTTTGAACAAAACCCAAACTGACAACACAGATTCCTTAAAAGCACATTTTGTTTCCTTTTTTTTACTCATACCTATAAGCAAAATAAAGTCTAAACATCTACTCAATTTTGGTCGTATCAAAAGAAAACACGGACTACATGTAGTTATATCTATATATGGAAAATGAATTGTCAATAACCCATGATGTGTTTCAAATAAGTTGGAAGAAACAGTGAATCTCCCTCAGTAACACAAATGTTGTCCACACTAACAATTCTTTCCAGTTAAGTTTCAAGTTAGACAAACAGCTACTGAGAACCACACTTTCTCTGAGATTTTACTTTAACTCAGTCAAATACTAGTTAAACAAATGAAAAAAAAAATTGATTTCCAATTTTAAAAATTGATATCTTGATTTCAACAATGTTGGCATTCTATATTACCTGCCACAAAAAAAAGGAGGAACAATACAAATTAATGTCTTATGTTTCTCTGGAAGCTTTAGTTTGTAAACACTTAACCAAATACTCAAATCATTCTGATTATATATTCATTCTGGTGTGTGTATATCCATAATATCAAGGCTTGCCGGTTTCATCGTAAACAGGTATCCTCTAAAAGATAGTGATAATGAATTAATACTAAAACATCAGTTAAGAAGCACTACAGTCATGAACAAAAAGTGTGGATTCTTTCTTTCACGTCAAATAAAGCCGGTGAAAATCATTCGCACCAAAAGCTCCATTACACTTGGGACACTTCCGCTGTCTGGTTTCATACCGTGTCTTCAGACAATCAAAACAGAATACATGGAAACACTTACTTAAGACAGCATCCTTTTTCTTAACTTTACATGAAGGACAAGTCAGATTTTCCTGAAAAAATATTACATTTTCTTACTACTTCACTTTTACAAAACTTACTGTAACTAACCTAATTAATAAATATTTTACCTCATATAGCTTCTTAAATTCAATAATTTGTAGTTTGTGAAAATATGCTAATACAAATTTGATTTAAAACAGAAAAATTCTGAATTAGAAATATAATTTTTTTTTTCAATATTTTATTCAAAGAAGATAATTTATTCAAATAAATAATAATTTCATGGAAGTTCAAGTTATATTTAAACTTTATAAAGTGCAGTAGCTTTTTCTAAAAATACAACATAATAAAGTATATCAAGAATATTGAGGAAAACCCCAATATGCAAATAGTACTGCTATTCTTTTTAAAAAAGCACAGTGGCCAAGAAGTTACTTGTCAATGATGAAAAAGTAAAAATATTTTTAATCAACCTGAGAATTGTATGTTAAACACTAAACATTAAGGTTGCCAGATTTGGTTGTGAGTTTCGTTTCCTCACCTGATGAAGAGTTCATAAATACATAATATGAAGTTTGGCTAAAATAATATTTTCCATTATCAACAAACAATGAAACCTAAAGACAGCATAATAATTGTTTCTAGTTTCTAAAACATGTTGCTAAGTAACACAAGTCAATATCTATCTACCTTTACAAGTAATAAACTAACAAAGCAATTGTAGTCCGGCTTCTAACATATGTTGCTATGAGATACAATTCACGATCTATCTAACCTCATAAGCAGGAAACTAACATAACAATTGTGGTCTGGCTTCTGACATATGCTGGTAAGTAACACAAGTCAATACCTATTCAACCTTACAAGCAGTAAACTAATATAGCATCTATAGTCTGGCTTCTAACATATGTTGCTATGTAACACAAGTCAGGATCTATCTAACCTCATAAGCAGGATACTAACATAACAATTGTAGTCTAGTTTTTAATATATGTTGCTAAGTAACACAAGTTGAGATCTATCTGACCTTAAAAGCAGTAAAATAACATAGCAACTGTAGTCTGGCTTCTAACACAAGCTGTTATGTAACAAATCAAAACCTATCTGATCTTACAAATAGTATACTAGCATAGCAACTGTAATCCAGTTTTTATTAAATGCTGATAAAGTAACACAAGTCAATATCTATTTAAACTTCTAAGCAGTATACTGGCATAGAAATTGTGGCTAAGCTTTTAACACATAAGCAACAATGTAACTCACACCATAAACAGTGCATTGGCACAGAAAATGTGGTCTGGCCAGTAACAACTTTTGATGAGCAAAAAGTCTTGATACATCTGGCATTACAATCAGTGTAGTAGCATAGAAATTGTGGTTTGGCAACTAGCATTCAATAAACAACAAGTCACAATGCATCTGACATTGCAACCAATGTATTGGCACAGAAAATATGGTCTAGCAATTAATACCTTTTGATAAGTATAAAAGTCATGATGCATCTAACATTACAAACAGTGTACTGGCACAGAAAATGTGGTCTGGCCACTAAAAACACACACATACTGATATGTAATACAGGTCATGCTGCATCTGACATCATTAACAGTATTTTGGACACAGTAAATGTGATCTGGCCTCTAGCACATTCTTATAAACAATAGAAACCATGATGCATCCCACAGTTTAGTATATTAGCATAGCCAAAGCAACTTGGCCTGTAATACTAAGTAACACAAATCTTGATATAATAAATTATATAACATTTGACTGAGCTTTTTAGTTTGCTTTAAATTGCAAGATGCCTTGTGCTTTTATACATCTATCAACTGATACGTAGAAGTGATGACAATTAAACTATAATACAAATAACTTTAGAAATATTATACAAAGTTTATAATTTAGTATCATATTACCAATAAGACATCCTTTGGCATAAGCTTTTAAGTACCAAATTGAAGCTGGAAGATATACAAGTTGTACAAAATGGCAACATGAGAGGTTTAATGAGGTAGTTTTTATTTCATTGAAAATATAAACAATATACCTCCTAACTGATTCAAATCCACCAAATTGTGTAAATAAGTAAAAATAACTTCTAGACTCTAGAGTATAAATAATTTTAAAAGAAAAAGAAAAAAATCTTACTTTATACTCTCTAATTTCTTCCATTAAAACTTCATCAGCTGTTGTAGCCAGTTCAAACTTTTTAGCTCTTTCAACCTTCCTTCTTAGACTAATAATTTCCTCCTATTTGTAACAAAAACATCTGAATAAAAACTAAACATTTGACAAAAACCTAAATAAATTTTTGTTCATTACACACATTAATACATTTAAATAGTTTTTTTTTCAGTCACAGCTAGTTTAACTTGCAATATCTCAACAGCTATACAAGTTTTAATATTAACTCGCATGAACAAGTATTAGTCTAATATAATGGCTGAAAAAACTCCAGTAGCTCACAAACTACTGGTTCTCTTAAAATGAGTTTCTTTGTTTCAGAACTTCATTCAAAGCTACAAAGGGCTATCTGTGCTAGCCATACTTTATTTTGAACTAACTGACTAAAGATAAGAGCACCCACTACCAATTAGTGTCTTATCAAACTGTAAAATTTGACCATCACTCTTATAGTAAAACCATGGTCCCAAAGTGCAGAGCACTCTTTTAACTCTATCACACCAGGATGGTGCATCTCACCTTGAGGACAAAATTGCATCACTGAATTAAAAAATCATAGAAATTAAACTTGTAGTCATTCTTCAACAAATTAAAAAAACAAAAAACTTCAGTGTTGAAAGTCATTTAATTTTATACATAATTAAAAATTCTGATTTTAGGTTGATTGATGTGCATTCCAAACAAAACTGTTAGTGCTTATGAATTTCCTAAATTTTCTCTAAGCATAATAAAACACAAGGAGCTCCTAAGAGAAAAGCTGTAATACATTATACCAAAATAGCTCTATTTCAAACTTCTTACTTGAATACAAGTGTAGTTTTATTGAATTTTAGCCAAATGCTGTTTTATAAATTTTGGATATCATGGTGTGATGTAATTGCCAATATCTCAGCTTCAAGAACTCATAGGCTAGTGATCTAAACTGAAAGCTTTTTGTCTGTTCTTCTCACCTGATATGGCTTATAGTTCAGAAGGGATCTGTATCGAAATTAAGACAAAATGATAAAAGTATAGCTTGCTGATATGTTGATAGAATTAAACCTTGCTTTATTACACTTTATTTGAATTATGATATTGCAGTATGAAAGGAAATGTTTTACCAGAACAAGAAATAGGTAGGCTTAGTTAACTCTCACTACATGCTCAGTCCCAGGGACTAGCCTTGTAACCATTTTGTGCTTGTTATAGTTTTCATGCTATAACTTTTAATCCAGTATGTGTATCTATATGAAATTTTGCAGATTATCAGTAAACATCAGATTTTTTTTATCAAGTTTTAAGACTTTTTAAGTAAAGTTTTTCTCATGCATTTTTTCTTTTCAAATGTTGACTATCCAACATGCAAAGTAATTTTTGATTTTAAGATTAAAAATACTTTGATGAATCAGAAAATTGTCAAATTTCACATGCAAAATCTTTATAACCCCCCAGATAATTATCAAACGTTTGTTTAGAAAAAACTTTATATGTTATTAGGTATCTTCATTATTGTATCTCTGTATAGGTTTGGTCAATTTGACCAAACTCATAACCACCATAAAATATTAGGAAATAGGTATTTTTTCGTTCTAGAATAACTACAAATTATATATAGCTTAAATCTCATAACATTATACATCTATATATATATTTATTTTATTGACCTTTCAGCTGTGCCTGACCAACATTACAGAAGTTGCAATGACATGGCGCACGAGAATATAAAAGTGACCTGTCTTAGCTGTGTTCTAGTGGACAAGTATTTTGTAAAATACAGTCACATTTCAGTTATAATACATCATATATGTATGTACATTATTACTATTTACAAATAAGTTCTTAAATTTCAGTTATTTTTCTTAAAACATAGATCAGTAAATAAAGAAAAATAGAAAACAATTATCTCTTCTAGTTACGAACTTTGTACCTGACTGCTGCTTGCCCTAAGTTGTTAAGCCTTTCAAGTTTTGCATGTAGAAAATGTAAGAAAAATAACTTTTTTTTTGGTTTTATATCTGCATTTTGAAATAACAAAATATCATAAATTACTATATGAATACCACAGAATTCCACTATACTTTATCAAGCTTAGTAACAAAGCTGTATTTGGGTCTAAAAAAATATGTTTTTTTTGAGCTCACTAATGTCTTACCTTACTACTTGGAAACTAGCACTGGATCTTATCGAGTTTCCTTTCACAGACAAAACTGCTGTGTTAGACTGTGTTTAGGTTAGGCTTTATGGACCCAAGAAACTACTTGAATGGACAAACAAAATCACCAAAAAGAAATATAAAAAATATGTATTCCAATTAATAAAAAATGGTTTTAAAATTTATTACATATACATTAACCTGAATAACAATTAAAAAAAGTTGGCTTGTTTATAGTTTTGACATGGTAAAAAAAAATAAAAAAGTTATTTTTATTGTACACCAGTGATTGTAAACACAGGTCATCTGTAGCTAAATTACAATGCTGTTTTTTCACACAGAAAGAACCCTCTTTGAAAACAATAAACTACTTCAGATATGTCTTAGACTGGATGATTGTTAACATTTTCTTAATTAGAAAATGTATTTCCAATAACACTTACCTCCTCTCACACTACAGCTATTACTTGACTGCCAGGGTTTCTTCCTTTGCCCATCTAACCATTGTTCTGATTTTGTCTTGCTTGCTCCAGTCTTTTATACCCCACTTAATTGCCCTTGACGAAATTCATCTCACAACATTGTCCACCTACATCAAAGCACCCTCTATCCTGGTACTGTATATATGCACCTCATTCAGATAATGCTATCACTTTTTGAGACTGACTCCATCTGCAGTCTCTAACACCAGCTCTTAACTCTATCACCCCAGGTACCCTTTACTACACATAACACAAGGTTTTAGTGTCTTACATTCAAAATTACATTCAGAATTAAGAGGAAACAATGGTCCTTCTTCCATGAACAATGTACTGAACCAATATTGATCAAAAAGGAGAGCCACCCTCAGCCCAACCGGATAGTCAAGCATCAAATCTGAACCAGTATTACAAGTAAAATCCTGCATAGGCTGGTCCCTCTCCTACCAATATCTGGGAAAAAACATCTAGGGACCAGGGTAGGAAGGCCCCCAACTTTGTTGTCTTTTCAAGAGTGGAGGAAATCCACTCTAACACTCTGGAGGAAAAGCCTCTATCCACTACCCCAGCGACTGGAAAACGGGTCTGGTAAGGACTCCCTAGCTCCACTGGTAGAATCTGGGAGCAATATGCATTGGGGAGGAACAGTGCTATAGGTGAATCAAGTCACCTAAATGTTTAAGAGCAAACCAACACCGATTTATTCAATCCGATGATCGGCAGGAACAGGCAGAATTCCCTTATGCTTTACTCATGATAGTACATGAGTGGCAGTCCAGTGAAGTACAGTAATACCACCCAGTCAGCCTCTGGGTAGTCTTATGGAACACCTCATTTCTACAGAGCCTGTTGCAATCTAGATAAAGTATATTGAGTTAGTGGTTGCTAGAATGGAATTGGTTTGATAAAGTACACCTGCCTGAGCAACATTCTCCACAGAGTGGAATCAAGTGAAAAAGAGGTAAGGGGGCCCTGTAAAGTAAAGAAGAGACAAGGGGAGCAATGAAAATACACACCTCTCCTATAACCTAACTGATGTGGTCAAGATAGCCACAGGGGTAATCGAAAACCCTCAGAGGAAGATACCACCAGATCATGAAACTAATGTGAGATAAAAGTATTGGGAGAGGTCCACATACCAGCCTGCATAATGTCCTCCGGCAGGCAGTTCAACTGGGAAGCTAAGGACATAGAAATGTGACGAATCTGATGAGACGTTACTCGCAGAAGTCTCCTCGCCTTCAAAGAAAACCCAGAATAAGCAATATGGATCAATTTTCGAACCCACCTCATCAAGGTAACTGGGAATAAATCACGACAAACTGAAATATCCCAATGAATAAAAAGTCGTTGTCTATCATCTCTAAAGGTGTTAGTGCAAGCCACACAACACTTCAGGGCTCTAACTGGACATAATAAGTGATCAGGGTCTAAGCGGTCATAGAGGTGAAAAATAGTGGTCAGATAAATTGATGAGAAGGATTTATCCCCTTCCCTGGCTGCCAGTGCCTTAGGTAGGAAGGACCTGTCTGGGTATAGAAGGATATAGATAGAATGATAAAAAGCCCTGTGCATATGCAGCCCAAACAACTCTGACCTGCAATAACCACAGGCCACCAGCAATCAAAAATAAATTTTAAAGGAAAGATGATACATGGTACATGAGGCTAAGAGCTCAAATGGATGTCGAGACAGAGTATGTAATTCCACCTCAATATCCCAGTTAAGTAATTGAAAACGTCTTTTGGGATAAAGAACCCGAAACGACTTGAGAAAGCCGGAGAGCACTGGGGACTCAAATGATTTCCATCTTTTCGAGTATCTAAAGATAGTCAATAAAGCCGAAGAAGCAGAAACCATGGTTGAGCCAGCCAATCCGGTGCTACCAACAGCACACGACTAGAGATTGACCAAACCATAGCCAGAACTCTGGGTAACAGATGAACCAATGCTCGAGGGTGAGGTATCGAGAACCAAAGTACCTATAGCTGAGTGTTCCAATGAGTGGCAAATGCATTAATCATTGGTTTCCAAACTGAAAGCAAATTCAATGGAAAACATCACAATGTAATATCCATTCAGTTGGAAGAATCCGGTTGAGACAATTGATCTGAATAGCAAGAAGTTCTAAAATACTGATGTGGAAGTAAGTTTCGTTGTCCATCCATAGGCCCTGGAATTCATGACCATTGATATACACACCCCATCCCTGAAGTGAGGCACTTGTGAAGAGATGGATTTCAGGCTGAGGTGGCGGTAGAGGAAAACCTATCATAGTATTGTTCTGAACTAACCACCACTCAAGGTCTAAGATGTTGATCCTGAATAAGGAGACTGGGTGATGCAGTGGATCGTTGTTTATGATTCACTGGTCACGCAATGACCACTGAAGGAATCTCTTGGGCTCTTCCCAAAGGAATGAAGTTTTCTAGTGATGCCACATCCCCAAAAGAGATAGACCCACCCATGCAGTGGAAGGAGACGTGAGGAACAATCTGACTGCCTGTTCCAGAGCATGGAGTGAGATGGGAGTCAACTGAAATACGTGTTGAGATAGACTCTCAGATAGGGGATATATTGAGTTTGAATGAGAATAGATTTCTCGGCTCTGATAATAAAGCCTGCCTTGGTGGCTTCTGAAAGGAGAATTTGGGTGTGATATTCCATCAACTGACGAGACAGTGCTAGGAGTAACCAGTCATCCATATAATGGTGTGTGCACAGGTCTAGAGAATGGAGGTGATGAGAAAAAGCTTGTACTATTCTGCAGAATACATATGTTGCCAATGCTAGTCTGAAGGGCATAGCCTTGAATTGCAGTACCTGACTCTTGTGCACAAAATTTACATAACAGTGGGATGATTCCACTATGGGAATGTGTAGATAGGCGTCAGCAATAATGAACTTGATCATCCACAGTCCTGGTGAAAAATGCCAAACGTAGAGTAAGGAATGACTCCATTGTGACCTTGGGTTAAGCTGAGAAAGATCAATGACCAGATGCCAATCTCCTGTCTACTTGGGCACAAAAAACCCCAGAAGAACTGAACTGACCCTTTCTACTGCTCCCTTAACCAACAAATCTCTGATAGCCATGGAATAAAGGTCCAAAATCCGAGGATCTGTTGGAGGCAGAAAAACTACAGGTTGGAGGGGATAATGGTTGTAGAGATGTGAACTGAATGACCAACCCTGATGCAAGAACTTGTAGCAACCATGGATCTGTGGTAAAGGAATTACATATGTCCAAATATTATCGTAGTTGAGCCCCAACAAACCTTATTGGCATAGTGTAGTCACCATTGATACTGGCAGAATTCTGTCCAAGCAGAGGAGCCTCTTTGGTATGGATGAGCAGAATCTACTCTGGGTACCAATGGATTGAGGTGCTGATGTTGGAGGTCAGGACACTTGAATAGGAGTAGAGCCATGACTCTCTGTAGGAGCCAAGGAAAGTCGAGAGGTCAACAATGACAAAGATGAATGCAGGTGGGTGACATCTATCCATGATCCCAAAGACTCTGGAACACCCGCAAAAATTAAGGGTCAAAAAAAGGTGGCCAAACATAACTCACAGAGGGTGGCAGCAGGTAGAAGAACATCCTCCAATAATGCATCTACACCCAACAAGTTTCAAGAACATACCAGCCAATAAACTAAAGAAAGAGCAAAAGCTGACAATCATTCCAAGGTAGATGCCAACCATGGTTCCAACTCATCATCAAATTGATGTGGTGTTTGCTGAGAGGCTTCCCACAGAATTTGGAGGAATGATAAATATCTCAGAAACATAGTGAGGGTCAGATGAATCCTAGAAAATTGTGATCTGTTCAAGTTGATCACAGACTCCATTCTTGAACCCCACATTTCCAAATGTGGGTCTAGTCTTTGAGAGTCTAAATACACTTCCCCTGGCTGTGGAAAGCCAAACCATATTGTTCCAACAAACACGGCAGACAAGGCATAGCTATACCTTCATGTAACTAAGAGGTAAACCTCCCTGCACGAACCACAACATCAGGTGATGGAGGAAGAACTAGGTCTTCACCCTCAGACCTTTCCACCATCAATGAAGGCACAGACCCAAAGGCAACTGGAGAAAAACCCAAAACATAACACACCTGATTGACCAACTAAAGAAAGGGAACTGGAGGTGGCTAATCCAAATTGGCCTCATGAGAAGCCGAGTTATTAAAGGAATGTACCAGAAAAAACAAATCTAAATTCTCTCCAGAACGTTCAGGAAAATTTGCAAATGTAGACTCAGTCTCCCAGAGAAACACCACCAGACTGAATATATGTCTCCATTTCACTACGAATCAAATCACAGACAGCCTCAATTGAAAGTACCCCCCTGTTTGAGTGACGTTAGATATCAGAGGTGGAGTAGGGGAAGTCTGAATGCCTCCACGCTTAAAAGAGTATTACAGGAATTTATGCCATATATCAGGATGTCAAAATAAAAAAAAAAATTTTTTTAATGAATATTGCTTCAAGTGTCTCTACCAGTTACAGTACAGAGAAATCTGTTCCTGAATGCTTTGTCAAGATAAAGTGATAACATTATCCGAATGAGGTGTTTATATTCAACACCAGGATAGAGAGCAATTGAGTGGAGTATAAAAGACTGGAGCAAACAAGAAAAAATCAGACCAATACTTAGATGGGCAAAGGAAGAAACCCTGGCAGTCAAGTAATAGTTGTAGTGTGAGGGGAATTAAGTATGTTTTGGAAATATAGTCCTACAGAAAGATTACCTGTAACCTTCTAGTTTTAAATGCTTCCTGCTGAACTGCACTTGTTTTCTCTGCCACTGTAGTTTGAGCTTCTTTTAACTGTCCATGATACTTCTCTAAGTGGAGCTTCAAGTCTGCAGCTGACTGGGCACTTTCTATAGCTTTTCTTTTGTGCATCTCCATCGCTTGCTGACGTAAGCTAAAGAGAAGAATATTTGAAGATAAGAAGGATTGCTTGGCTTTCAAATGAAGACAAAGTGCCATTATGAAAGATAATTACCATAACTGTACACATAGGTCAAGTGTATCTTTCTCTCTTCACCACAGAAACTTAAAAAATGTCTGTACTTGGTCAGTTTGATTATACTACCAGTTAGTCAGTTTTATTAACAAAAAATATTTCACAAATCAAAACACTGTCAACAAAAAACCCATCAGTCTTAAGCAAGATAGGGAATGGAATGAAGTTTCTTAATCCATAGTTATTATTTAATAACTTTATACACAAAAACAAGGAACTGCATGTACACACTTATAACGGTGTGAAGAAACCATAATTAGTTTATGAATTACATGTCTTAATAGAAAATTTGAGGTATGCTAAAAGACAGTATATTTAAGAATAAACAAATTTAATGTAAAAGTAAATAAACTGTTAACAAAAATTACAAAATATCAAGCACTCAGAGATTTCAAAAAACATTCCATAGTAGAGCAAAATAACAAAACAAAAAATAAACCCAATATTTTAGAATCCCTATCACATTATAAAAAATATTAAAGAATACATTTTTTTTAAAGTAAACAACAATTTCAAATTATATTTTTTAAATTTCCTAAGTCTAAAATTATTATCAGTTTTGAAAATGTACAGAGCTTAATATATTGATGAAACTACATTTTGATAAGACAACTAATATGAATCCAGAAAATAATTTACTTAAACCCGAAGTTTCAGTGTATGCCTTTTTTGGGAGATCACAGTACCACAGAGAACATACACTCACAGATGTTTAAATGATAGTAACAGAGATAAATATGAGTACACTAGTTGAATAATATGAAACAAGAGCAATCCAGAGAGATTGTATACCCTTGCCCTGCAGCACCTTTTCAAGATTGCATGCGTTTATCTTGGATAACGTCACAGGCAAACCCAGATCATTTTCTGTAGTGCAATGAGGAGCCTCAACCTTAATGTGCCCATGAAATGTGGTGCATATCCAAACATACTTTAAAGGAGTTATTAACCCAAAACTGCAAAAATGTCTTATCTGCCCATGATAAAAAATGCCTCAAAGTAATCCAGAATCTGGATCTGGACCAAATTTGGGGATGGATGTCCTATACTGACTTCCCATCTTCTGTAGAAAAATATAGATGCTTTTTATTAAGCCTTAAGGTTTGTAAAGCAATGTTTTCTCATGCTTTTTTTTCTTTTTGCATGCTGCCTATCCAACATGCAATATAATTTTCCTTTTAAGATTAAAAATATTTTTATCCATCAGAAGATTTTCAAATTTCACATGTGAAATCTTCATTGTATCTAGATAGTTATCAAATGTTTCTTAAGAAATGTTTCTTTCTACTTGGGATAAACGAATGTAGTTTCATGTTACAATTTGAAATCATTATAGCAATAAAAGAGGGTAATTTAAGTTTCTTTCTAATTTTTTTTTTGGTTACGAGGTTGGTCGAATTGAACGATCACATTTTGAGATAGGGTAGAAAAACCGTTTGAAATGCATTTAGGAGGTTTAAGGGATTACACAAAGGAAATTTGAGATTTTTGAGATGAGGAAAAGTATTTTTAATTTTAACATGAAAATTACTTTTCATACGGACTATTTATTCAAAACAAATACTCAATATATTCATTCTGCTAAAAAATATTAATTTTTTGTCTGTGAAAGACTTATAATATTAACTGAAAGACTGCCAAATTTTGTGGTCAGTCAAATTGACTGAGCCCATGTTGAAAGAATAAATACAGCCTAGAAAGCCACTAGGGGGACATTCTGAGCTTTCGACTGGCTTTTCACATGTCATAACTTGAATAATTTATAATACTAAAATTTGAATTATAATCTCCAGTTTGATTCCAAACTTATTGACATAAATTCATGAAATAGTAGTTCAATAAAATTTTGAATGTGAGTGAACAAAAGCAATGACATGGCCTTTGACCCATGACCCATCTGGAATGGGATGAATAAAAAAATTATCTAAGAAAAACAAAAATGCACAAATTTAACTTTAAAGTCTAAACATTTCTGACTGCTTTTAACTTTTGAATTAATTATGCTTTATTAGCCATCATTTCAAGATATGCTTAGACAAAAAGAAACAATTTTTTATTAACCAACCGAATGACAATGTTACAATTTTAGCTAAATTGAATTCTCTTTTTACTGTTGATTAATGTAAAAATACAACAAAATTACAAACTGAGTTTCTTTCTATTGATGATATATTCAACTGATCTCAACTTTAAAAGATATACTTTAAACGGTAAAAGATGGCAAAGCACTAGAAGCTAGTAGGTCTAAAATTTGTGGAAACTGCAAATGTTTTCTTTTTAGATTATTTTTAATAAGTCTGTTATATAATCAGAATCAGAAGTAAAGCAGAAATAACATTTCAAAACTGTTTCTTGTCTCCCACAAGTCACTACCTGAGAGATCTTTTGTTCATTCAGAACTTGTCATTTGAGTTGGATGATGAGAGATTAAAATATTTTCTGAAACACTATATATATATGCAGTATGATACTTAAAAATTTATGATTGAAATGCCAAAAGCCAGTGTCACATTACAAACCAATAGGCCTAAAATTTATGATTAAGATAACATAAAGTGCACATTCTTTTTTTCAACATTCCTGAATTATTTTTCTACTGTTTATAAAGAGTAATAACATTAAGAATGCAACTACCCAGTTCCCTTCTATTGTTGATCAATTCAACTGACTGGAGTCTTTTTTCTATTGTTGATAAATAGTAATAATGTTACAAATGAAACTGCCCATTTCCCTTCTATTTTTGAACAATTCAACTGACCTGAGTTCTTTTTCTATTGTTGATAAATTGTTCTGCAACAGTCTCTCCTTTTCTTCCAACTTTCTCACAACCTGGTTCTGTGCTTCCACCTGACTCAAAAGTGACGTGACCTGCTCATCCATCATAGCTTTTTCTTCCCTCAGTAGTTTGTGGATTTGGTTAGACTTTATTCTCTGACAAAAATAAAAAGAAGCATGTATTAAATTCTACCCGACACTTTGTTGTAGTTTACAAAAACCATTTTAGAATTGTCCTTTATATCTTTAAATCATATTTATTTTGACATACATATCAGTTACTTTACATACATTTATTGCTTGCTACAAAATTTTCTATTTTAGTATCACATAAAAAGAGTAGTTTACTATTGTATAGAACAATGCAAGTTATTTTCTATAAATACGTGTATGGTTTACAACGAATTTCAACTAAACAAACAAATGTATATTAAAATGACCAAAAATAAGATTTTTTTGGTTGCAAGTTATTTAATTGAGTCTATATTAAAATGAATTAAAATTCTAGATGTTAATATGAAAGGAAATATTTTCAAACATTAATTTCCGAAACAACCTAATACTCAAAGAATTAAGAACCCAGAAATAAAGCAATCAATCACACATGATGAACTTGATGGATTTTACTTTTGGGGGTAAGTTTTCTAGTTAACCCTATCTCTATGGATCTCCCTATGGTCATGGGTCAAAGGCCATGTCATTGCATTTGTAAACTCACATTCGAAATTTTATTGAACTACTATTTTATGTATGTCAATAAGTTTGTTATCAAATTGTAGATTTTAATTCAACTTTTAGTATCATCCATTAGTTAATTTCTTAATTGAAAAGTAAATATTTTTTTAAAAAATCACGTTCTATGTTGAATGCAGCATTAGTTCAAATTAGATGTTTGTGATGTCCAAAGACAAAGTCTATAGTTTCTTATAAATTAGGAACTCAATTTACTGATATTGAAAAGCTAGAATCTAAAATAAGAACCTCCTATCTCTTCTATTTGCTGAGATATCGCTACATTTACTAAAACAAACAGAGTGCCCTGCCTACCTCTTTCT